CCCCTCCCCTGCCCTTCCTAACATGGCCACGGCAGGAGGCAGAAAGGGCAGCAAGAAGCCTCACGTCACCTTTAGGAAGCCATCTTGGGAGGGTCCGGCCCAGAGAGGGGCCTTGCCCGGCAGCCACCTTGGGAGTGGCCTTCTCCACGCAGGCCAGTGTCTAGAGCTATGAAAGTGAAGAGCCGGATTGGAGTGAGGCATCCACAAAAAGCCGCAGCAGTTCCAGCCCCAGCCCGTTTCCCAGGGGGGCAAAAGGGCCTGTCGCCGATATTCCCAAATGGGAGGGGAGGGCTCCGTGCAGCCGGGGGGGGGCAGAGTGGCTCTAGCTCAGCCACGGGGGCATCAAAGTGCGCCTGGAGCACCCTTCTGTGCCCACTGCCGGGAATTAGAAATAATGCAAAGGGAGTATATCCGTGCCCAGACCCTAAACAATCCCCATTTTGGTAAAGCTAAGCAGCAAATACAGTCGAAGTCCCAAGACTAATCAATTTGTGTCAAAAAGGCACGACGAGGAGATGGAAGATAAATAGATTCCAGCCAAGGCACGAGGAGCCGATAGCAGATTAATGGATTTCCGCCAAGGCACGACGAGCCGATGGCAGATTAATGGATTGCAGCCAAGGCACGCCGAGCCGATGGAATTTCTGTGCAATCTTTTGTGTCCAGGCAGGGATGCCGCCTCCAGCGGAGAAGCCCCTATCTCACGTGCATGTGCAAAGCGCCATGGTTTATGGGCTTGCCTGGGATGGGAAGGGGGTCCTCCCTTCCTAACCCCCCCCCCCGCGGTCTGGGAATCAGGCGCAGGGCTTGGCTTCCATGGGCGCAGGCAGGGTGCCCGTTGAGTCAGTGCGGGGCCGTTCCCGGAGGAATTGATTGATTTATTTTTATTTTTTTTATTTTTCGATTTATAACCTGCTTTTTTCCTACAAGGGCTCAAGGCAGCTTACATCTCCTCCTCCATCTTATCCCCACAACAGCAACCCTGTGAGGTAGGTTGGACTGAGAGTCTGTGACTGGCCCAAGGTCACCCGGTAGGCTCCATGGCTGAGTGGGGAGTAGAACCCAGGTCGTCCCGAGTCCCNTACATCTCCTCCTCCATCTTATCCCCACAACAACAACCCTGTGAGGTAGGTTGGGCTGAGAGTCTGTGACTGGCCCAAGGTCACCCAGTTGGCTCCATGGCTAAGTGGGGAGTAGAACCCAGGTCGTCCCGAGTCCCAGTCCCATGCTCTTAACCACTACACCACCCTGGCTCCCCAGGGATTGATGGGGGATCGAGCCCCGTTTCAGGGCCAGAATGCACGCTTCCCCGCTGGCACATGCAGCATTCGATTTCCTGTACTTGTTCGAGCGGAGAAGAGCTGAAAAGTCTCATTTATACCATCCCATCTCTCCTCTGAAATACACGAGGGGACTCAGATATAGGAAAGGCGACACCCCCCAGGGGGGGGGAGGTCTCCCATCCCCTTTCCTCCGTGCAAGTGCCTTCCAAGGCGGCTCCAGTGGGGAGAGGAGGTTGTATGTGGCAAGCTTTTTTCTCACCAGTAATCCTTGACATTGATCCCTTTTCTACTATTATGAACTCTTAAGTAACACACTTATAGTATGATGAATATTTCCTGTATTGGAGAGAGAATGAGCTGAGCAATTCTTGTGGCTTGCCCCTTCGTGGAGGTCCCAGTCATTTTTGGGAGGAACCCCGGGAAGGGGCAAAATGGATAGAGGG